GGCTCGTGACAAGTACTACATTATTCTTAAAATTCCTTAAATATGCTAAATAACTCACACAATTCTGAGACCTCCCAGTGCCCAGAGGCCCAGAATTTAGTAAGTTAGTTCTAAGGGAGCCTTTCTTGCTATTTTTTTATGCTCTGAAATGTCCAAGATAGTGTGTGTCTGACTATACAGTGAATTTTTTTAATTTCCTTTATTTTCCCAACAGGAAATTATAGCCTTTTATAGATTTAATTTTTTTTTTTTTTTTTAATTTATTTTTAGTCAACTGCAGTCACAAGCTGGAATACATTAAACTTAAGAAGTGGCTAAAAGACAGAGGATTTGAAGACAGCATTTTAAGACCAGCAGAGTTCAGAGGTAATGACTTTTTTTATTGATGGTACAAATTTCTGATTCTTCTAAGAATGGTAGATCCCTGATGTAAGTTTTTACACCTGGCTGGCATCAGGAAAAAATCCAGTCACTATTAGAGTTTTAAGGATATTTGACAAATGCACGTGGGTGTCAACTGAACAGAAACAAAACACCAACTGACCAGAAACAGTAAACAACAACTGAACAGAAACAGTAAAGGTATATATTGCATTTTTTCCTCTTTAAGTAGGTTACGTTTCCAAATTTTTTTTGCAATATTAAAGAGAGAGTGGAAAGAAGAGAATGAGCCAGAGAAAATTATTGCTGATTCCACACATGCACGTGTATTCACTCGTGCTCCTTTTGTTCCCGCTTCAGAGACAGGAAGAGGACTGATGGCAACAAAAGCTCTTCAGGTCAGTGGTGTTGGTTCTGCTGCAGGAGCTCCTTGGGTTCTTTGGAGGTGAAATGATCTTTGCAAGAAGCAAAAAGCTCAGGATTGCAGGCAGGGTCTTCACAAGCCCTGCTGTGAATGTGATTTCTGGCCTCTCAACCTTCACTTTGAAGCCTCTGTGTTGGTGGACTAATTAACAGGGGCGTAATTTCTCAAGCATTTCCAAGAGGCAAGGGGAATAATAGGAAAAAATTCTGTGCCTTTTGGATGTTGGCACAGAAGCTGTGTGTGTTCTTATCCACTAAACCCAACTGGAGCAAGGCAGGGAAAACCAGGAGATGAATGGGAAGAGCATTGACTCCATTCCACGTGCCCTCTCCCTGCAGCAGTGGGGGCACATGTGGCTCCAGCCAGGCATGAAAGTTGATTTCCACACAGCAGCTTGGCAAGCAAGGTCAGGGCAGCCACGACCTGAAATATCCCTGCCACGTTCTGCTGTGCTGAGGGAGATTCAGCTGTTTGAGAGACCTAATCTGAAATAAATCCAGTGCAGAGAAAGGGATTGCTGTGAACAGTGAGGGGTTTGTGCTGACTGCAGTTGTCCTCCTTCCCTGGGCTGGGACTCTTCAAACCATTCCACTTCCCCCAGGAGTACGAAATGAGCCACTCACACTTGACTTTTCCCGTTCTTTGTGTGTGATTATTTTTTCTCCTCTCCCCTCAAAGGCAGGGAATCTCATCATTTCGCTGCCTGAGAGGTGTTTGCTCACCACAAGCACTGTCCTTAGCAGCTGCCTGGGAGGATACATTAAGAAGTGAGTGAAAAGTGACACCTGATGGACAAGCTGGCCTGGAGTGTGGGTGGTTCATCAGGAGATGAATCATCTGAAGTGGTGGTAGAGCTTTCAGCCGCGTTCCCTGAGCGGCACCAGGGATTTCTTGTGGCCTTCCCTGGGTGTGGAATGCTCAGATTGAAAAGGTTTGGGCTCAGAGCATCCCCTTTTAGCTCAGCAGATTAAAGCACATTGTCCTGCCTCAGAGCCAGCTTGGACCTGAATATCACTTAGGAATGATTTCTTGGGAATTTGTGAGTAAGCTTCAGTGGGAGAAGGAAGATAAAAAGGGGTTGCAGAGCAGTCACAGGGACATGGCCTTTTAGAAAACTCAGAACAAAGCCCTCTGCTGGACACTGAGTCCTTGTATATCCTAAAAACCCCCACCCCACCCCAAAAAAAACACCAATCCATGTGGTGAACCTGAAGTTCTTATTTCCAAACCATCTTTTATTGCCCCTTTGAAACCATCCAGAGGGCTTGGGGAGGGGGAACTACAAAGCAGCTTGAAATAGAAGCTATTTATGACACCTCAAAGAACCCTTCGAGAGATAAAACCCCCAATTCCCGCCTCACCTCTGAGTGTCTGCTGCGCCGGTCTCTTTATTTTGATTTCTCTGTTGTTTTCTGATAGCTGGAAGCCTCCTGTATCTCCTCTGATGGCGCTGTGCACTTTTTTAATAGCAGAGAAACACGCTGGCCACAAATCCCCCTGGAAGCCCTACCTGGATGTTTTACCCGAGGCTTACACTTGCCCTGTTGGTTGGGAGCAGCACGTGGTGAATCTCCTCCCAGAACCTTTAAGGAGGAAGGCTCAGGAGCAGAGAACAACCATCCATGAGCTCTATTTGTCTTCCAAGGGTTTTTTCTCCTCCCTGCAGCCTTTGTTTGCTGAGGACACGGGAAGCATTTTTACCTGCAGTGCTCTGGAGTGGGCTTGGTGCACTGTTAACACCAGGACAATCTACATGAAGCAGCCCCAGAGGGAGTGTTTTTCTCTGGAGCCAGATGTTTATGCACTGGCACCGTATTTAGACCTGCTAAACCACAGCCCAAATGTTCAGGTAAAGAAACTAAAAAAAGAGATCACTTGATTTTTTTTTTGGTTTTTTGATTTGGAAATGCACTGCCTCAGTGCAAAGGGCATTTATGGGATGGATTAGGAGCGTGGGGAGGTCGGGGAGGGATCTCACAGTGGGAGAAATGTCAGTTTGGGAACACGTGGAGGGGGAGGACTCGTGGGTCATAAATACACTGGGGTTTGTTACTCAGCCCAAGGCAGCTGAATAAAGATGATTGTGGTAATGATCATCAGGAACTGGAGTGACAGGACGAGGGGAAATGGCTTCAAACTGAAGGAAGACAGGGTTAGGTGGGATATTGGGAAGGAATTCTTCCCTGTGAGGGTGGGGAGGGGCTGGGATAGAATTCCCAGAGAAGCTGTGGCTGCCCCTGGATCCCTGGAAGCATCCAAGGCCACGTTGGATAAACTTGGAGCAACCTGTGCTGGTGGAAGGTGTCCCTGCCCATGGCAGGGGGTGGATTAGATGATCTTTAAGACCACTTCCAACCCAAACCATTCTGGGATTCTGTGATTCCACGGTTCAAATTCAGTTCACAGGCCTCTGAAACACTTTTCTTCCAGAGTTAGAGAAATGATCGGTACTTTTGGATCTTAATATTCGAGGTTTGGCTCCTTTTTTCACCCTGCCAAGAATAATAAACCCTTTTTTCTTTTTTAACTCCACGTAGGTAAAGGCTGCATTTAATGAGCAGACAAAGAGCTATGAAATTCGGGCAACTTCACAGTGCAAGAAATATGGAGAAGTTTTTATCAACTATGGACCTCATGATAACCAGAGGCTGCTCCTGGAATATGGATTTGTGGCCAGGGATAACCCTCACAGCAGCGTTTATGTCTCATCAGGTTGGATTTATGGAATGTCACTGAAAGCACTTCTGAGAAGCAGGTTGTTGTTGGTTCAAGGTTTCAACCTTGAAAAATAGACTTGCAGTGCTATTTCAGAACTGATGGCTGTGCTTCCTTCTGTGTAGCATTTCTTGAAATATCTAAAATGTGTTTTTGTGCAGATACTCTCCTCAAATATCTTCCACCACTGGACAAGCAAAGAAAGGCAAAACTATCCATTCTAAAGGATCATGATTTCCTGGAGTAGGTGTCTGGGGGTTCTTTCTTTCCTGGGGGGCTTTCTTTTTAGTATTTTCTAGGGGGCAAATTTTGCTTCTGGTATCAAAATCCTGCAAAAAATTATAATTTGGGATTTTTTATGTTTTAACAAACTAATGTACTTGTGAGAGGATGTAGAACTTGTAAACACCAGTATCAAAGCTTGAGATCTCCCCTTGCCAGGAGGAAAACTGTCACACTGTAAAAGCTCCCTTACACTTTCTTGTCACTTTGGACTTTTTAGAAACCTGACCTTTGGCTGGGATGGACCATCGTGGAGACTCCTCACAGCCCTCAAGTTGTTAAGCCTTGGAGCAGATGAATTGTAAGTTTAAGCCCTCAGAGTATTTAGTCCTTGTGCTCGTGCCATTTTCTGCTGTTTCCCAGAATCACCAAGGTTTGAAGAGACCTTGAGGATCATCCAGTCGTAGAAGCACCACCAGGATCCCCCCTGATCCACGTCCCCAAGGGCCACATCCAGACCCCTCTGGGACACTCCCACACACAGGGACTCCACCACCTCCCTGGGGCACTCATTGCAAGGCCTGACCACTCCTGCAGGGACAAATTGTTTCTGCTCTCTGCTCTGAACCTGCCCTGGGGCACTTTGAGGCCATTTCCTCTCCTCCTTTCCCTTGGGATGTGGCAGCAGAGCCCGACCCCCCCTCCCTGCCCCCTCCTGTCAGGGAGTTGCAGAGAGCAGTGAGGTCCCCCCTGAGCCTCCTCTGCTCCAGATGAACCCCCCCAGCTCCCTCAGCTGCTCCTCACAGGACAGGTTCTCCAGACCCTTCACATGTTCTCCAGCCCCTTCAATGTTTTCTGGACCCTTCACTCTTTGCTGGCTGGGTGGGAGTTCCTGGGACAGTTGGGTTGGATCTCCTGTGTTGTCTCTCATTGACTCCAGGTGAGAAGTGAAAAGAAGAAAGGCAGAGAACACCATAAAATGTCAAACCATGGCCTGTTCTGCTTTGGTCTTTTGCTTTCTTGTGTTAATAACTGCACCCAATTGTTTTCCCTTTCTATTTCAAGATATTCCTTTAGGGTTCAGACTCCAGGCCTTTTTCCTGTTGGTTTGATGCAATTTTAAATGATTTCTTT